CGAATGAAAAAAGAAATCGTTAAAAATCGACAATTGGAATTCCATGGAAAAATAAAGTTTTAATAAGTGTTTGGTTTAGTACTTAATACAATGTTTTTAAATCTAAAAACATTGTTTGCTGATGTGATATAGTTCTAATTTATTTTTAAACCCTATTTTTGCTAATGTACCTGAATAAAACTTTTTGTTTAATTATATTGTTTTGGTTGGAAATGTACGAAAATATTTGTTTGTTATTTCCTACTTTATCGTTTTCCCCTAAAAAGTATAACTAAAATTAAGACACATAAGGCACTGAATATTTATAGAAGGTAAAACTTGTTTCTAAACGGAGCACCGCTGTTTTTTATTTGTGGGCAAATTTGTTTTTTCTGATACTTGTATTTATTATTATTATGTATTTTTATCGTTATTATTCTTACTAACTGAAGTTCTGACCACTTCAAAAGAATTTGTTTAAAAAACAAACAATTTTGACTACATTCAGACAAGTAATACAAATCTATGCCAGATTTATATATTTTTTATAAACTATTTAAAATGTTTACAGTTATATTGCGTTCTACTATAGCGTAGGTAGATATTTTACATAATAATGTATAAAATAAAACATTTGTGGTAATTAATAAAACAAACAAAACGTTATATTATTAAAATAACAATGGGTTCCAAGAATAATAATTAGATAAGATAAAAAATAACAAATGATTTAGGGCTCATTTAAATTCAATTACGAACCGTTCTAGTTTGTTTAATATTTATAACAACGTGGTAAAAGTAAGCCAAAAGACAAAAAAAACTACCTTCACAACCTCTATAGCATGTTATATTTACAATAATTTGAGCTAATTGCATTTGTCTTTGCTTCAGTGCGGACAACTATTTTATGTCCACATGGTATCCAAGCAAATCGTTTGGAAAAAAAAAATAATTTTATTTTATAATTATTTGACTAAATTTAAATTGTAACTTTAGAGTTCCTTCTCAAAAGTAAAATCGTTAAAAACGTAAGTACATTATATTTCAATAATACTGTCATGAGCATTCATCAAGCTATCTGTAAATCCAATAAATCAAATGTTCAGCGTAACAATAGAAAAAAATATGCATTTGCGTTTTTATATGTTTTAGATTAGGTACTGTACGATTAGGTGTGCGATGTTAAAAGGATAAAAAAGATACTGTACTGACGCACAGAGGTCTGAAAACCAAAAAACGGGATTAATAATACATTTTTCAAGTTAAAGTCTTAGGTTTACCTAAGAAACTGAAATTTTCATACCTTGTTTCAAGTTACACAAACTTGTTAACATATATTTGAACTTAATTTTTTTTTCATACGTTTTTTTATGAGTAGTCATCATTGTACCAAAAATGTAATTATAGAAGTTCTAAAAAAAAATTACCTCTACAAACTAGAGGAACTCATGAAAACTATACTTTTAAAATATTTAATTATGTTGTTAATGATATTAAACGGGTATCAGTTGCAGATAATTCCAGATTGCAAAGATATCTTAATTTGAAATTATTTCAATAATCAAAAATCAAAAAAAGTTGATTATACATTATATTTTGAATTTTAGTTTTAAAGAAAACCGTCAAATAGTATAATTTAGAGGTTGCCGAGTTCAAATTCCACTTCAGATTTACAATAAATATAATACCATCTTTATAATTTTTTTTAAATAGAGGCGTGTATCTATATCATATGTATACATTTATGGTATAACACATAAATATATTATAAATCAAAAGTCTATTTTGAGTTCATCTACCCCCAAAAAAATTATAGTTTGTTGTGCAGTTTATTTTTTTTTTTTTTAACTTTGAAAAAAATTCCCTAAACCTCCTAAGTAGGTTTTCAACTATGTATTTCACAATTAAATTCAGCGATCCCATAATATGTTGTAGTTTTATGTGTCCCTAACACCCCTAAATAGGAATTCCGTATTTAAGTTCAATGGCCACTAAAACATATAATTTTACATATTTTTGTTTTTTAATAAAACAATTTGGAGATATTATTTTCGATCGTTATTTTTGAATTCTAGCCCACTGTGTGACGGTAAGTAAAATGCATATTTTTTTATAATTTTAAATGTTTTATTACTATAATAAAATCTTATCTGTTTATGCAATATGTAAAATAACAACTTTAAGTTAAAGTGAAGGTCGTCAAATCATTGAAATACATTAGTTTTAAAAGTATACGCAGTACCTACTGAGTTTCATTATTATTGCACATAATTCTATCGAGCTGGTAACTGCGCACAATGTTATATATTATATACTACATCTTTGCTCTATGGTAACAACTCCAATCCTAAGACTTTTTCTCTGAATTATGAATAGTTATCATTTACAATCCATTTGCTTACTTTGGACTGTTTACATTAAACATTTAAGTGTTAGGCACAGAAGCCGATTACGAACAAATTCGGGAATGCTCTAAACCATACAAAAATAATATACACTATACACAAGTGAAATACGTAAAAATAAGAAAATAAAACTGAAAACAAAATATACTTTCAAGAAAGCTTTCAGGACGGACTCTCAAAAATTTACCGTTAAAAACGCATACAAGTGTTACTAATATTGATGTCATAATATTGGTGTCCTGAAATTTTCCAGGTATTTTTAAAATTAAAAGCAAAGCAACTAGTCATTGAATAACAACCTACCATCGCCTATTACATTAAATGTTTAAACGGTCCAGTAGTATTTTGTACTCAATGGTTTAAATAGATTAGTGATTACAATAAGCCATTTTTTATACAAATGTGTCCTGACCATTCAAAATATATTGAAAATTCGTCATTCAGCACATCGTATCTATGATTTAATTATTAGTATGAATTTAATATTTTATCCATAACTCGTTTTGTAGCATTATTGCACATCTCACGTTCCTATCCTCAGTACTTTACTATTTCTGTGTACTTTCTGCATAAAAACTGCATCTGAACGAGAAGCTCGTTAATGTCCAGACTTCACTGCATACACCCATAATTAATATTAAAATATGGGAATGAAGTTGTAACTGCCTAGTAGAACTCAGTATAGTAACTGCTCAGACCTATAATATTTGCGCTACAAATTTCTAGTACAGCTATAGGTAGAATGGGTATATTATAAGTTCTCTACCTATAGGGACTCGTTATAAAACTAACATCATTCTATGTATAATTATATAATTGTCGTGAAATAATATCTTAATGCACATAAAACATTGTTCATATTTTATTCTTATATTTTTTAAATAGACAACAACAAACTATATCTACTATACCTATCAGTGTTTCAGCTATAAAAACTCGAGCGTGTTCGTAAAAGTAGTATCGCCGGCAAATATTTTTTCAATTAAATGTTTCTATAAAACTTATACTTTAATCTTAAACTAATTGTAAGAAGTAGATAAAATATTTATAAATAACTTTTGGACAAAGACCATATATATAAAATTACCGTTGTTTTTTTTAATTATTATTTTTACACATACAAACGATAATGTGTAATTTTGTTTATCGTATGTCAAATAAACGGTATACGATTTTAGAATTTTGAATGTATGTGAGACGAAACTCCCACAACTCACAATCTACATTAATATTATTTTACATTCAGCTCCATTCAAAATTCCTACTCAGGCTACTGCTAATGGATTCATAAATTAAGACATGACGTGTGCAACGGATCTTGTATTAACTAACAAAAGTGTAGTAGACGATTCAATTTCCAAAAGCTCTAAACACATTAGTCTTTGTACGCGATGGATAATGCATGTTCGAGAGTTCAAATGTAGAAACAATTGAAATATGACCTAACAATAGTACCAGCTAGCTAATTTTAGAAACTCAATTGAACCAATAACTAAAAAGTATTAGCAATAGATAATCAATAAAAATAAGCATTAAAAAGTCGCAAACAAAATATTTGTTGTAAACGTCTTATTTAATTTATCGAATTACTTAATACCCAATATATCGACTGCCCCAACGAAAAGAGTCGTATCTCGTTTTTTGCAACTTTTCAGGATGAACCAAACAAACATTTAAATTTAAATACTTAATTTTCAAACTGATTTGTTAAAAACAGAAGAAGAATTTAAATTTGAATGTTTGTTTGGTTCATCCTGAAAAGTTGCAAAAAACGAGATACGACCCTTTTCGTTGGGGCAGTCGATATATCTACATATTTATAAACACATCTGTATTACACATCTGTTATTATACAATTACTAAACACACTTTTGATAATAATAGTTTTTTAGGTAGATTATCAATATTTTTAGACACAATTTGAGAAATTCGGATGTGCTTACCCCACCTAGTTATGAAAATAATACTCCGGAAATTGTTTTCGTTTCACTCTTTTAGTTAGAAAGGAGAAGGATATTACAAATTACAATGTTATCGATGCTTCAACAGCCTTCTACGCATTAGCCTTTTACGCTCATAAAATTGAACATATTGTACTTTAATTTGAACGCCAAATAGTCATGAAATATAAAATAAAAGGTTTGTGATAGCCTTATGTTAACTATCAATTACAAATGGGGAGGGTCAGTTTAATTAAGGTTAGAAAAGCAATTGTTTTCAAGTAGATCTGATATAGAAACATGTTGATTATTTCTTTGAAAGTAGCAGATTAAAGCCCTATTTTATTTCAACTTATATCTGTTTGTATTTATGGTGATTAAATAAGGCTTTATACTATAAAAACTAACACGAGGGGAGTGGGACTAACCTTACCCCCTCCTCTCTGGATCTGAACTTGTATACGTATTGTTAGACGCTCACTATTTTTTAAAATATTCACACCTTGTTTTGTTTACTCTACAAAACGTTGTGTTAGCAGTTTTTGAATAGTCAATTTAAAGAAACCGCGTGTTCCCTTATGGAAAATTAAAACGATTTGACTTTATGTCTACAGTATTGTTGTAAACCGAAATAAAATTGCATTAAAAAAAAAAAAAATAATAAAAAAAAACGAACCCAAATTGTCAGCGACGATAGTCCGGTAAAACAATAGGAGTAACAACTGCACTTGAATTCGGACACACATCGTCGGATCAGTGTACACTTGAGACTATAATATTTTTGAATTGGCAGCACCGTAGACTACCGTTAAACACGGTGAAATAATTAAAGACATGATTCTTTTACAATATTTATATATATATATAAATATATTATGGTATGTTTAAACGCAAACGATGTAAAAATGTTGTTATAACCGATATTGGCCGTATCGTATTTAAAAACCTTGTACCGGGTAAAACGTCAACACGGCACACTAGCGCACGACGCGAAAGCTGCGGGGAAACTGGCCGCTGCGGTGCACACGCGGGTAGAGTCAGCCACCCCATCAGGATCTGCACAGGAAACTTCACACGACGACGCCCCAACCTCAACCCCCGCCGCACCTCATAACCACAACCACGGTCACTGATTAAACCAGCACGTCACTGCTCCCGTATTATTATTACTTCTGCCTTATCCTGTCCCCTAGCATATATTTAAACGGTCGCTATGTACATATCCTAGAATGTGTATGCATTAAAGAGTTGTCTACTACTGAACACCGGCTGGGACGAGTCATGACCGAAACATCTTATAATATATTATGTAGTTTGCTTAACCTATTTCTTACCCACAGTGAATGTTTACTGAAAAAAAGGTAACAACATTCCGTTACAAGTCCTGGCATCCAAAGACACCTTGACCAATACTTATACTTATATACTTCATAATATGATCAATGTCTGTGGGCATTAGTCCTGAACTCCTGGCACGCTTAGATCGAGTAACTCGTGTGTGTATGAGTGTGTGTGTGTGCGTGCGTAACCTTGGTATGCCATAGAAGTATTTTCAAAAATAGGTCTAGCCGACGAGTTAAATTTCAAACGAGGGTTCGCTGTCTCGTTCTAAACTATTTTTACACATTATTGAACTATAAAGCTGAAAAGAAACAATAACGCGTTTACTAATTATTTTTAAATGAGGCCGATAAAAAGAATATTAAAAAGTAAAATTGTAGATATTTTAAGTGGCTATGAAACGATGTATCGTTTTTTTTTAACTTTCATGAGAGACTGAGAAAGTATTGGTTAAACGATTGTCTTTTTTTTGTCCATACATTTATACTCTCCGTATACATTTTTTAATTATTTCTTTTGTATAATTATTTTATTCGACTGCAAAAAATAGACCACATTTGTTTTATAAATAAATTTTTATTTTTTTATTTAGCGCTTGTCCGACTATCAGATAAAAAAATCGAATTTATCTAAACATTAAATAATTGATAATAATTATTAGTTATTACTAATAATTATTGGTCAATAATCGTGACAATAATGTATTCTATTGTAGTAATTACCTATATAAACGAAGGCAATTATTTTATTATTCTGAACAAATCGTTTTCAAATAATATTAAATATTGCTTAAATAATAATATTTAGTATTTCATTTTTGTCAATATTATTCATCTCTAATGACACAAATAAAATACATGAAAATGCTTAAACACCTACTACTACGCCATCCACGAGGACAAGTATACATTAAACTAAGAAAGAGTTGGAGATAAAATAAAGAATTTTAAATTGCTTAAGAACAGTACTGTCTAGATATAATATATGTATGAAAAGATTTATCAATTCAGTTTCTAAAACTTATTAGATTTATACATTGAGACAAGATTTAATTTCTTATTTTTACTATTTTATTCATCTACAAACTATAACTTAAATCAAATATAATAGCTAACGCATTACAGTTTGAAATTTAATAAGTTATTCTCATCACTACACTTTTAAGCTTTATTAAAACTTTATGTTCATAATTTTGATAATATCCAATTGCAAAATTAAGGATAATTCTTTAGACTTTATCGTCATACATTTAAAATTGGTACAAATATACAAAACTTTTATGTAGCTGTAACACCCAAAAACTGGAGTTTTTGAAAAAAAAAATTGTTTTTTAAATTGGAAAAATGAATCTCTTTACAGAATTGAAATCGGACCACTCTAAGTAGTCGACATTTTGTCTAAAATAACGTTTAATCATTAAACAAAATTGTATAAGTTAAAAGTAATACTTAGAAGGTTTTACAAATTAATCTGTTAACAAACTGACATGATAGAAATATTTTATTAAAACCCATTTTTCATTAATTATTGCCTATACAAAACTCCTTTAAAACCCGTCCACTCTAAAGCTCCTTAATAAACTATCACTATTTAACCACAAGCAGGAGGTTACGTTCAATATATTTGTTTATCAAGTTTACTGTTTATCCGTCCGGATATTGCACTTTAACGATTACCGTCCGGTCCACTAACGGCTCGGTAAATTTTTTTACAATACATTTTTTTTTACATAATAAACGGTGTAGAAATAAATTTCAATAATGTTTTAGAACCATCCGACCATAACACACATAAAACATAGACACAGGAGCTCGGAAATACTATAAGAGAACCTTTTATGACATATAGGTCACTAAACACATTTCATCTTGTTCCTGGTCACTAGAATGAATTTCACGATACATTTATATTGCGCCTCATAAGTATTTGTTCACAAATTTACAAATGAGATAAGCATATTTTATGTATTGGTTTACAATAATATATATATATATAAATTATAGTTTTCACATTTTAACAAAATAGCATTATAGCCGTTAACTAAAATTAATTTCATACTAAAATTCGTTTTCAAAACGAATGAAGTAGACTCTCACTAAGGTCGAGATGACTTTTAGTTTGAATATTTTTCAAATAATATAATAAACTAATTTACTTTCATGAAAATCGTTTCGATAAAAATATGTTTTTCAAAAAGTTAAATTTTCATTTTTAATTATAAAAATTTTTTTCAATAGTTGTCAGACTTTTAACAAATTTAATACTCTAAGCCAACGATGCCCAGATTTTACTAAACTTTTTATTGTGTATAAACCACCTTTGAAATCCTTATTAAGTTATTTAGACACAACTTTAGTAGTCGTAATGACAAATTATTTGAAAAAATATTTTTTTTAAATAGCAATAAATGGACATCCAACAAGATTGCTTAGCCCTAATCATTACTGTTTTATGGCTGCCTGCATCTCCAAACCAATATTTAATAAATTGATACATTTTTAGTTCATTAAATTACGAATGTTTTCCGCTAATATAATGTGTACTTCGAACTCCGAGACAAGATTTAATTTCTTATTTTTACTATTTTATTCATCTACAAACTATAACTTAAATCAAATATAATAGCTAACGCATTACAGTTTGAAATTTAATAAGTTATTCTCATCACTACACTTTTAAGCTTTATTAAAACTTTATGTTCATAATTTTGATAATATCCAATTGCAAAATTAAGGATAATTCTTTAGACTTTATCGTCATACATTTAAAATTGGTACAAATATACAAAACTTTTATGTAGCTGTAACACCCAAAAACTGGAGTTTTTGAAAAAAAAATTGTTTTTTAAATTGGAAAAATGAATCTCTTTACAGAATTGAAATCGGACCACTCTAAGTAGTCGACATTTTGTCTAAAATAACGTTTAATCATTAAACAAAACTAATATAATGTGTACTTCGAACTTATTTTAATCACTAGTTTAAGTATAAAAAAATACAAACAGTGTCCCTTAGTGCGTTCCGCACACGAAATACCGTACTCTTTGAAATTTCATCCGTTCTAATAGATGCTTATGTCTCGAGGCAAATATTTTGCAAGACAAATTAGATTTCGTAAATTTTTATTTTATTTTTTTTGTAAACCAAAAACTCAAAACTGAGTTATGCTAGTGCCATGGTTATCGTAATAAAAATATAACATACAATTGTTGAAATTTGTAAAGTTCTCAAGTACTACTAAACCGATTTTGATAAAAATATACTATAATCTTCCGGTACAATAAGGAATCAAACAAAGAAGGTTTCATCAAAGTTCTCGAGATTTTTTCTGAATACAAACAAACGTTTCCTTTTTATACAACCGACCTTATATAATTGTACGATTTTTATACCACTCAAACATTATTTGGTCAACTGTTTATACCGCTTAAACATTATTTGATAAGTTTAAATACTTTCAAAACGAAAGAAATCGTGTTCACGACTTGGTTATCAAATAAACATATATTTACAAACGATTATTTTAATATAAAATAAAGTACAATTTTATAAGAAATTCCAAATTAATTTATCAATAAAATACTAGTATAACTAGTATTAGTTTAAATTATTATTAGTATAAACGTCTGTTAAATAAAATACTAATCAAATAATTATTTAAACTTCAACGCAGGCAGGAATTATATTATTATAATTGAATTTATGTTGTTAATGAGTTAAACTTTATAGTATTTTTAATTAAACTGATGGTAATTAGAATTCTATCATACAGCATACTCGTGTAGATAACTGTGAATACACTTTTGATTCGTACTTAGCTTTACTAATTTTCAGTTTGGGGTTTAAAAGTTAACTTAGTTGAATATTAAGTACTTACTGCAAACAAGTAATAACTAATTGTATGTAGAGAAACAATTTTTGCTTTGACTAATTCAATTTCTCGTGACCTGTCTTTTTGCAATAAACATTACCTTATCAAAATTATAGAACCAATGGACTGTATTAGAATGTACAGTATAGTCTCAATTTGGTAACATTCCATTTATAGATAATAATACCAGTATCGCAATATGGTTAACACAGTACTCATATATCAAATGGTTAAATAACTTTCTATTTTCAAATTAGAATTAAATTTTTTAAATACAATATTTTAAATATGAAACCTAAGACAAATAACTATACCTGCCAGTATAAATTAGCATGAATGGTATACTAAATTTATAATTATCTGAACTGAAGCAACCGCTTCATATAATAATAAAGGTGGACAGAGACGACACTAGAAAATACTTAACCTAGGCGACTCCAATTTTGCAGTATTTTAGAATGTTAATTAAATATATTCATTACAATATATTAAATATATTATATTTGTAAAAAAACGCCACCATGTAGGCATTATGCCTATTATCTATATTGACAATGTTTTGCGCTGGGCCTGAAGGCGGATGAATATTCTGTTGGAAACAGTGCTATTATATAGCTTAAATGATAATTGCTAATAAGCTAAAAGTTTAGGGGTGGGTGGTTGTTAATATTTAAACTTTTACTTTCATAAAAATGTCTATAATTTCGATTTTAAAGTGTGTGTAAAATAGAAAGCTTACAAAAATGATCAGCTAAAAAATTATAAACGACAAA